TCATCTCTGGCAAGACAAGGAAGTAATGCAATAGGTATTACACTCACACAGATCGGGTGTACACTGCTGAAGCAAAGATCCTGCTCCCAATTCCCAGACATCAGCTCACGGGGGACAGAGTCCTAGACTATGTGAACTGGATTTCTTTCAGGAAAAACTAAACTGGGAAACAAAATTCAACCATGAACTGGAGCGCCAGTTGCTGGAGTTTTACCAGTTTCAGTCCTTTGACTGACACCAACAGCAAAAAACAGTGGACTACAGCATAAATCCATCTTCTCCTTTGCCACCCCAAAATCACACTGGAAATGCTGCTTATCCTTTTCTGAGATTGTCATTGTTAAAAACAATAGCTGAAAGCTCAGCTCCTGTTTGTAAGCACATCATTTACAGAACTTTTGATCTTTTCAATGAGACTCACTTGCTTATATTAAAAAGGCCTTGTTTTTCCTTAAGAACACTTGCTGTATTTGTACTTTCCTGTCTCATTCATAAATTGAGGCCTGAAGCAGCTATGGGTTAAGTCACCTTGTCTAGCACAGGTAAACAGAATAAAGCTGCAGACGCTTTGTTTAGGTTTTAGAAATAGGAAACATCCAATCTTTAGTTTGAAAGACCCAGAGCAGTCCAATCACCATTTTTGTCAGACGTGCATTTTTCAAACTCAGAGAGATAAGATGATGTTGTAATTCTCTGTACTCCTGTGAAAAAATCTGAGAGAACAGACAGAGAGCAGCTGAGTATTTTTAAATTAGTATCACTGCATCAACAAGTGCTCCATGTAAGCACAGCACTTACCAGGACTTTTCACAATGCTGCACTTGGTTATCAGGTGAAATTACTGATTAAACCACACTATGTAAAATATTTCCCTGGGAAGTATGACAAAAATTACTGGGCATAGAGACAGTACAATAGTGTTCTGGGCTTTGAAAAACATTAAAGAGAAGGCAAGTCAATGATAGAGAAAAGGCTTCAACAAGGACAAAACATTTTAACTGTAGAAGAGAGAGCATGTGGCACTCGATGTAAAAGCATGAAAAGAGGGATGATGCTGGCAGTAAAACAGGAATAGCTGGGGGTTATCCTTTCTACTACTACAGCTACGTAAGAGATCATTTTAAAAGAGAATCCTTCATTGAAGGATGATTTGAGTAAACTTAAAATAACCCTTATAGGAATTTTGTGAGAATGACACCTTAAGAGAATGTAATAGTGCAATAAATGACAACAAGTGAAAAAAGGATTTTTTATTTCTCAGTGTTTCTCCACTGTCAATACTGTCCTTTTGCTGCAACATGTTGCAAAAAACTCTCTGCCTTTTCCATTTTAAACAGCTACAATATTTACAGGCTGTTTCCAATAACACACGCAGACACATACACACTCACAGACACGCAGGTACATATATCCCTATCCCTGGCAAGGTAACCGTTTGCTGGTAGAGGCAATATATATTTTCATTGTCCATTAAAAACCAAAGCCATCCTCCCATTTATACTTTACTCCCCTCCATTTCCTAACCAGCAGCTATTGTCAAGCTTTTGGGGGTGTCTGTGTAAGAAGTTACATATCCAGCTATTTGATTGCCATCTTTCAGAGTTGTGGCCTAAGTGTACTGGGATTATCTATTCAAACTGTACATATCAGAAGTCATAAAAATCACTCGTATTCAGATGTTTGTGACCAAGTGATGTAGGTATACTCCCAAAATCTTTTGGGGCAGCCATCTTAATCACCTTTTTAGAAATATGCATATCATGCTGGGGTGAAACAAGTCACATGCTTTACTTTCCACCAAGGTGTTATGTACCCACTTTTTTACTAAGGCACCAGGAATTACCAGTATAATTTCTGAAAGAGTCCAGCGCCACTGAATGTACTGCATTAAGATTATCAAATAGCAAGCCAGACAAGGAAAGAATAGATGCCTATATAATAGGTATAAAATTCCTTAATAAAATTAAGTACATAAAACCTGTGGTGGTATAACCCCAAATCCAATATAAGTTGAATATTGTTAATGGTAAGAAATGCAATCTATCCTGCTCCATTTTGTGAATGGAGTTCTGTAATTGAGAAAGATCTTTAATGCAGTGTCTTTGTATCTATACTCCTAGGTCGTACGGTGGTGTGTGCATTGTCAGAGAAAGTTGAATCCAATTGTAAGGTACCTCTTCTCCTGCCCTTCCCAAGTCCAGACAAAGCTTTATGGCCACTTGCCAAAGCACCAAAGGCACAGACCTGTGCCACCAGTCTGTCACCTCACCAGTCATCCAGGCTCAGAGTTCTTCAGCTCCCAAAGGCATTGTGAACATGGGATAAGGAATGCCTTGTGATAACTGCATACATGACTGGAAAACTGAGATCACCACTCAGAAATATGCCAGATGTCCCAGGCAATGTGGCTGTAGGACCACTCAGCCTACATGGAATCACCTCAAATAATAATCATCACCATGATCTTCCCCCTCGCTCTTCTCCCAACTCTGAAACCGTTTCACAAATGCTGAACCAGGAGAGAGATCCCCAGAATTCAGCACAAGTACCATACAGCACAAGTGGCACCCAAGTCTAGGTGTCATCAGTGCTGTCACACACACAGTTCTATGTCTGTTTGCTTTAATCAGAGTATTGTAAAAGACTTCACAGGGAACTGAAATGCGAAGAGGTTTTAAAAAAATCAGGTAGCAGCCATTTCGACTGAACATAACCTGATCAGCAAGGTTTTCAAGCATTTTTCTGTAACTGAGTATTTGTTTTAGGGAGCAGTAAGTCCTTACGTATCTGCACATAGATACCACCTTTAACGAAATTTGAGAGGAAAAAAACACATTGGTATCTACCTGGATGCTACAGCAGTGGGACTTAACTGGAATGTTCTTATGGCAAGAGAATATCACAATGCAAGTGGACAGAGTAAAAGCAATCATCTATAATGAGTCTCCATGAAAGCCTAGAAGTATCTTTTTTTAAAAAAATCTGCTCTATGGTAAATTCAATCTGAACTGAAAGGGCTAATTTGAAAAAACCCATGTCTTCCACCCTCACAACAGGAGAAAAATGCTACACATCAAGACAAAGGCCAAGAAAAGAAAACAAAAGATGAAATTATCTCCATCTAGAACAGAGGTTTCCACAGACAGATCTATCCTGTGTTGAGTCAGAAGAAAACAAACATGTTTTTGTCACTTGCACACTGGAAACCAAAGACACAAACTCTGCACAAACCAACATACAATCATATATGAATCTTAAGAGTTCAAAATGCAGGAAAAAAAACCTTTAAAAGTTAATTTTCCAAAGCCTTATGGAAGAGTGAATTTTTCCACTAGGTGGCTTCTGTTTGTTGAGATCTAGAATATGAGCACTATGCAAATAACTTCACAACAGGTGTTTGCTAAGTATCTGAAAGAAGGGCTGGCCACATTAAATTCCATCTCCTGAAGGCAACACACCAAAAAGCCTTACGACAAAAAAAAGTGTAATATCCATCAATTCTCTTTGCCTCTTAAGAAAAAAAAAGCTTCTCTATTCCCCCATCTGCTGCTTGCTGATCTAATTCCAGGAGTGCTCTAAAACTTCTATGTTAACAAGCCATTAATTCTTATCACAACTATAACCAGCAATGGACATTGTCCTTATTTTGCCCTGAAGAGAGTGAGAGATTGTTTAGAGCCAGGGTTAACACATGGAAAGTTGTCTCAGTCAAGTTTTAAAAATAAATAAAAACCCAAACCTATGTATTCTGGTTTTCAGTCATTTGTTTACCTCAAGGCTATAGTAAAAGAAAAAAATTACCCCATCCAACTAATACCAAATGAGGGCTTATTTTCAAACAAACTTCTCTTTCTAAAGTTAGGCAATATTCCTACTAGTGATACAGAAAAACCTCAAAAGTTAATTAAAGGGGTATTTATCTGAAGGGAAGGACATAGAATAAAACCTTAACTAAATCACCTTCAATTCAAAACTTAGACATTTTCTTCATTCCTGACAGCAGCATTACCAGACTGCTAAAGAAGGTTCGATCTACTGTACTACATTTTCAGATATGCATGAGATGAATTCAACTATACCATAATGTGAACATATGATAAATAATCCTGCTGTTCCATATAGTTTCAGTGGTGGCAGATCTGGAACTGTGCATTTATACCATGGTTAAACTGGACTACATACAAATAAACCAAATAGTAATATGCAACTGTAAGATGCACAGTACTTGGAGTACAAGTTTGCATAGTACATGATGTAAGCAAGGTCCCAGTATCATTCACTGATATCCAGAATTGACTAGCTACCAGCACACAGACTTACCCTTTCTCAGCCAGATAGCATACAGTGACTTGAGTTGGAGTACCAATGTTTCTTAGGTAGCTGTTTCTTCCTTTTTTTTCTGTTTCTCATCCCATATAATTTCATCCTTACACTAGGTACATAATGGACAATGTCTGATGTCAGAAATAATTACAATAACCTCTGTGGTGTATCAGAAGTCTCTTCTGGTTACGTTACACATAAAGAAGTGGAGGTGACTGGGAAGAAGATGGCTGCTCCCAAAAGCTAGGACTGTATGCAGTTTCCCCACAGAGTCCTATTATAATTACAGGTCAGAAACAGGAAACAATCACAACAGGTACATTATTTTTTTTCTTACAGAATAAGAAAAGTGAGTCATAGGAACTGCAAGTCAAGAACAAACCAGTTTCCCTCTCACACTCCCATGATAGTTCTGAGTTACTTGTTTCCCTGAATACACACTTTTAAAAAAATACAATAAAACCTAGGATATGTAACACATGAATAATTCAACTTCACAGTTATAAATACTCAAATTACACTTACATAGAATATATAATCACAGAAAATAAAATTCAAGTCATAGAAAAGAATGAAGACTAAAGGGAAAGAAAAGGCAAGGTGGTAAAAGTGATACAAGTTTAGGGCTGTGCCTTCTATAAAAGATCTCGAAAAGTAGAAGTCAAGTTTTTGTTGGGTTCTTGCTTTGTTTTGGGGGTTTTGTGGTTGCTGTTTTTTCTAAATTGGACAGAATAAAAAAAAAAACCCCTTCAAGCATCCATGAAATAGTCATGGACCTGCACTTCCCCCTCAAAAACAATGTCTCTGCCAGAGAATGAAACAACACAGCCAGCTCTGGGTGTAAAGAAGCAAAGTAGCCATGGCTAGGGAAGGGAGGACAGATGAAAGGTCATATATTGGGGCCCACTTTAAAGCTAGACATGTTGTACAGATTTGAGGTACCACTGCCACGACAATGGAGTCTGATGTAGTACAGGGATACTCAGGTGCTTTTCTCTATATTTGTTATTTTACCATTTATTTGTGAAGAGGATGCAGCAAATGCACTTGTACGAAATACAGAACATAGAACCAAACCCATGGCACAGCCCTTACCATCAACATGTATATGGAGAGGGAGGGGATTAATCCCAAAGGCAATTTAAATAATGGTATTTTATATACTTATATTTATATATATAAATAAATGTTCTCAGCAATCTCAGGGTTGTTTTTAGTGCATTGCTGTAAAAAAATTAGTGCAGTTCTCATTAATGTTTAGCTCATAAGGAATAAGAATCTATACATCTGTTCAGTCTCTTCTTGCCACACCTGAAACCCTTACACTGTTTCACCAAACTGAAGGTTTGTAGTCAATTTCTTTAAAATAAGGTGGATGAATTCCACGCACTCTGTGACAAGACATTGCAATTTTTGGCAAAACAATTAGAAAAATATGAGGTGCTCTGATCTTAGAACTGAAAAGTTTGTTGATTTAAAGCATTACGCAATGCATAACAAAATTTATAAACAAAAGATATGTCTCAACAAATCTATCCTTCATGCAAGTGTTTCTTCAGCAGCTAACAACTTAAAAAATTTCTTACACTTGTTTATCTGGGGAAAGGGACTCAAACAAATCTGTGTTTCAAGTCCTTTCCTACAACCAGACTGAAGTTTCATGTCCTGGGAGCTGCTTCTTCTGGACCCTTCTCTCTTCTGAACCATTGGAGAAGGGGAAGTTTCAGTCTCAAAGAGATTTATACTTCAGCCCCAAGTTCGAGGACTCCAGTTTCAACAACAGCAACATATTTATCTTCAATTTGAACCAGTAGGATGGTTTTATCTATATGTGACCGACTACTTGGATCTCTGCTGCAAGGCACCCAGCGGTGAATCACCTGGGGGGAAAACAAAGTATAATAAAACATAAGCTCCACAGAGAGAGCTGCCATATCAAAGCTGTGGCTGATAATTCAAGACCCTTAACAGGGCAAAAGGAGCAAAAATATAAACGCTATACTGACTTAGCTGCTCATTTTTCAGTGACAGCATACCCACAAGTAAGCTACTCACTGAAATCCTGCTAGAGATCTGCAGCTTAGAATCACAGAATCGTTTATGTTGGAAGAGACCTCTAAGACCAGTGAGTCCAACTGTGAGAACAAACCCCTGACTTGAGAACACCCAGTCTTTGATTTAGATTTCTGCAGGAACAAACAACTTCTAGAACCAAAGACTTCATGCAAAGTGAGTAACAACTGAAAAAAGCAAACACTGTACAGATTTGGGGTATTTTGATGCTCAAGTTGTAATAGTCTTAAAATACCTCAGTGTCGTGCAGCACATAATAGCACAGAACTGCAGTTTATCAGGAGCTAGGATTAAACTACTGTCTCCTCTAGGTGAAAGCCCTTGCCCTAATTTTGTTCCCTACTCACTGTGAATTCAGGGTTGATCTTCTAAATTAAACTATTCAAAGACAATTTAAAACTAAAAATATTACAAAATGAAGGGTTTTGGAAACAGTGCTACAAGCTACTCCCTTGGATCTACAAACTTCAGGTACTTTGATCTGCAGGTTCTGAGGATCCTGCCTGATACTGACCATCAAAGGTCCCTTTTCCATACCGACCCTTGTATCACCTCACATGGCTCTGCTCAGCTGCCTCCATAAAAATACCTGATACGGAAAAGGTCATACCGACCATACCGACCCTTGTATCACCTCACATGTGTCTGCTCAGCTGCCTCCATAAAAATACACCCTTAACTTCTGGGTGCCCCAAAGGAAGCAACATGGTTTTAAATATTGCCAGCTCCATAGAAACAGAATTATCTCAAATTTGCCAGCAGTGGGAAAAGAACCCCTAATTCAAGACATGGTAAGACAAAAAGCAATACCGACCATACCGACCCTTGTATCACCTCACATGTGTCTGCTCAGCTGCCTCCATAAAAATACACCCTTAACTTCTGGGTGCCCCAAAGGAAGCAACATGGTTTTAAATATTGCCAGCTCCATAGAAACAGAATTATCTCAAATTTGCCAGCAGTGGGAAAAGAACCCCTAATTCAAGACATGGTAAGACAAAAAGCAAATAAAATTAATTTTTACTAAATCCAAGACAGTACAGTTTCCAATATTTCTAAGGAGACAGCTAAGGGGAAAAAAAAGGTCAGAAAACCACAAAATTATCTGTATCTTCCAAGACCAAATCCAAGAGACCCACTTAATCTTCACTGTACCCAGCTGACAATTTCTCTAACACTGGGTGAAGGAGATTCAGCTTTGCCCACTGTTATGCTGCATCCACAGGGAGGACATTTCAGCCAAGGAAACATGGCATCTTTCATCTCTTTGATGCAATAGTGTGATATTTAAGTGGTCTCTTCAAGTCTGACTTCAAAGTGTGTCCATACAAACTTTTTACGCCGCTGCATGGAAGGAGGCCAGGAATATTCTATCCCTAGACACATATAAAACACTCCCCAATGAAGTCCCAAATACTACATACTTGCTGTCCAACTTAAAACTGGTGCCTTTTTAGCTAAGGGCTGATTCCAAAGGTTATCAGTATCATGGCTCCTTGAAAACTGTGTGTATGCAAAAGCTGTATATAGAGTAAAACTCACTGCAGCCATATCCCCACACTCCGTTTTACCATCTTTTATCATGACCAGCATTTATTTGGTGCTCATAAGTAACTGACAACCTGCCAAATGATGTCACTAGATAGCCAAGAGGTGGTAAGAATCTCCTGGGAAGAAAAAGGTTCTTCCACATGCCAGTGGCACATATCATAGAAAGATAATACTGAGTATATTTTCAACTCAAAATCTGGAAAAAGTACCTATGTTACTGCTAAATTTAATTTCCTTGAAGAAACTTTATAATGCCTTTCTGCCTTATATATAGACTGTACTGCATACTTAGCAAAATAAAAAGCAAAGTTAGGAAAAATGCTTTTTTCTATGTAGCAGCAAAGTTTTAAACTACTGAGTGCTGAACTTCATACTGAGAGCACTGACATAAGGTAAACTGCTTGGCAACTCAGCAGGTAAGAATCATTTCTGCCTATTTGCAGAAAGGACCACAGCCATGCAATCAGAAAGGGAGGACTGTCCTAAGTGCCACAAGCAGCCGTAGCAGGCAGTGCAATCTACGTCATCAAGTTAAATCCTCTTCTCCTAATCACACACAGGATAATCTGGTGCTCTCCCCCTTTCTCCTTAGGTTAAAAGACGC